TGTAAAGAAGAGGCCAAGAGGGTATATATGAAGTCGATCAATTAGTAGTTTTCCTAGGCTCTTTGTAATCATGAATACTTTGCCTTGGAATTTTTTGTTTGGTAGCCACCATACCCTCATTGCTGATGAATACAACTTTACCATTCTAAAAATAAAAAATAAAATAAAAAATCCTCTGTAACCATATGGTGTGGGGTGTGTGGAGGACAATCAGAAACTTTTGTCCACAGATGGAAGAAAATTAATTTGTAAAAGTGCAAAATGGTAACAAAACTAGATTTTGCAAGGATGGTTGGATAGATCAAACCTCTCTCAGAGATCTTTTTCTAGATCTATTCCTAATCTGTGAAAATCCTGATGCTAGAGTATGTGATTTTTGGAAAAAACAAGGCTGGGACTTATCATTTAGAAGATAACTAAATATTGGGAGGGGGAGAGGGCGACAGCTTTACTTGGAATACTAGGTGGAGCGAACATAATCACAATAGCCACAATAGGGTCTTGTGGAAGCATATCAATTATCAAGGATGAAATTTTTTAGGTAAGTAATGCACACAAAAGAGGCGTGTAGGTAATAGCTGGGGGTCCAAAATGTCATTAGAACTATTTATGGAAGAGTGACATCCCCACAAAAGTGAAGTTCACTTGGTAGTGATGAAGAGAGCATGACTAACACAAGAAGTCCTACAGAAGAGGGCAGACAACTGGTTCCTAGGTATTTTCAGTAACATGAGATGGGAAACAAATAAAAACCTACTTTTACACTGCAAATTCACTGCTCGACTATGGAATCTGTTCCTCAATATTACATGCATGAGTTGGACAATGCCAGAACGCACATCAGATCTCTTGAGCAGTTGGATGAGGAGGGGAGGCAATAAAAGCCAAAAGAGATGGTAAAGGTTAATACCATCATGTATATAGTGGTTACTGTGGAGGGAAATAAATGAAAGATGTTTTGAAGATAGGTCCAATTCCATACACAGAGTTGAATGAATTTTTATTATATCTGTACTTTTTTGGGGTAAACAACTTTGTATAGAAGATATAGATCAGATTATAGATTTGATAGGAAGCATGTATTGCTACTCTATTTCGGAGGTGGCCAACATATCCTTAACGCCGAGGAATATAATCTTACCATGTTCAAAAAATAAAAAGTATTTCATAGTTTGTGGCATAGCCCAAGAAATTCCAAACCATCTAAGCATATCCCGCCATATCCTCATGATAAAAATCACTATATAGAAGAAGATGATCCACATCCTCTCCCCCTCCTTGCACATATAACACCAGTTGACACAGACAACTTTCCACTTTCTAAGATTTTTAGCCATATCACCCCTTTTTGCAGCTAGCCAAGAGAAGAAACACACCTTTCTCGGCACTTGTGGTATCCAAATTGCATTACACGGAAACAACCTCCTCCTTAACAAACAGTCTCTTGCAAAAAGGTCTTGACAGAGAAAAAACCATTGTTCCAATAACATGAACAGTTTTTTTAGAAAAACCATTGTTCCCCAAACTCCATCAGACATTGGGGTTATCAACCGGAGTGACTTTTGAAACTCTGCTACCTCTCAATTTTGGAAATTTGTCCTAAATTTCAAATCTTAAAAATTCTCTCCACCTTGTGTCCCCCTAATATGTTGGGATCGTCGAGTCTCCTTGGCATGAAACTCGGGACCAAATCTGAAACTCATCTTTCAGAAGATTGTACTTGCCCCATGTGTGTACCCAAAAAAAAGACTCTCCACCCATCTCCCAAAAGGCATAATGACATCTCTAGTTCTCCCTCTCCCTTCCATCACCCCATACTTATCAACTATCACCTCTCCCCAAAAAGCTTGTACCTTCACCCCAGATCTCCAAAGCCATTTGCTCAACAAAGCTTTGTTAAACACCAATAAAACTTTAATATCGAGATCTCCCCATTTTTTAGGAGATGTGATAAATCTCCCACCACAAAAAATGGAACTTCTTTGCCCTATCTGCCGCATCCCAAAGATATTCTCTTTGATACTTTTGCTACTTGTGATTGAAGCTGGAGCACGAAGCAAAGACAGGGAACAAGTGGAAATGTTCGATAAGGTGCTCTTAATAAGCGCTCTCTTCCCTCTTTTAGACAAATAGCTTTCTACCATCCTTCCATCTAACTAACCTCTTCTCAACCCTCTGAAGAACTGGATTCCACAACCTCTGCCCTATATTTTTGTCATGACAAGTCACGAGACAATGCTTTTTTTATGAGGCAATCTAAGAGATTCTATCATTTGAAATTTTTAACACTCAACTCAAGCATGGTTTCATTATCTTGGAACTTTTTTTCTCAACTAAACAATCTCATGATTGCAACTCGTTTATCTTTCATGAAGGTCCTGATCTCTTGATTCTTCTCGTCTATGTCAATGACCTAACACTTTTTGGATCAGCCAAATGGTTGATTTCTTACTTTGTCTCATTAATTCAATCCAAATTTTCTATTGAAGACTTTGAGTTCCCTTTGTTACACTTGGAATCAAGTTATTATTCAACTTGTTGGTCCAACACAAATACGTTACTGATATCCTTAAGTGGTTAACTTGGTAAATCTATCCAAACTCTCACTCACAGTAAGTTAGATTGATATATTCTCCTTTGCCTGAAATATTTCCTTTTATTGTAACATGGATGGGTTCTATATCTTTCTTTCACGGCCTGACTCCAGTTTTCAGTCACGTTGCCTCTGTGATTTCTTCATCAACGTGTTACTTGTCATCTCAGGCAGTCAAGAGGATCTTTTGATACCTTGAAGGCACTTCCACTTATTGCTTGCAATCGTATTCCAGTTTCTCATCTTCCTTGACCCTCTTTGCAGATACGGATTGGGCTGGAGATTCTGATATTCCTGCTTCACCTTGGGTTTTGTGTTTCCTTGGGGAAACTCTGGTTGTTTGGACCAAAAAAAGAAACAACCTCGAGTTAGAGATCTCAGAAAGGATGCCGAGTGTTCATTCCTCCCCTTAACATGTATGCTAGAATAGAACTTGTATTTTAAATTGTATTTATGTTTGTTGTGTTTTGGACTCTAACTTGTTCAGTTTGTCTATAAATACATGACTAAGTTAAGTAACCTATTAGCTGGAGAAGGCTTCTTCTATGTTCCTCAAGTTTTTTGATATTATATATATGTCAAGTCTGTCTTTACATCCAAGCATATCCTTGGAGCCTCTTCTTTTGCTTAAGGACATAGTTGCAGAGTTAATATGTTGATTTATGTGGAGAAACTGATTGGAAACAGTGAAGAATATTTCAGTGAAATCCTTCCCTGAAAATCTTCTTATAACATGTCTCACTTAAGATCCTGACATGAGTTACATTGATTTCTGATACTGTTAATTTTTGGGTGATTAAAACTGCAGGTTAGAGTTGCGGGATGAGTGGAGGTTAGAAAATCGCAAGGCATTTGCTTATATATTTTCAGACTTTGTCTCTGGGGTCTCATTATTCATTCTTTTGTGCTTCAATGAGAGTAAAGTAAGTTCTCAATCGGAGAAATATCTTTCTTCCTCCAAATTTGTCTGTTTGCTGGTATACTGGTATCATCTATGTTATTGGGCAAAAGAGGTTGATGTGAAATTACAAACTTGGTTGGACTTGGTGTGATTAAGATAAATAAAGGAGGTTTTCTTTGAATGCCATCTTTTCTAATATCGCTCTTGATTGTACTTTGCCTATTGTACTCCTTTCATCTTTTACTACTATTCTATTCACCACTATCACACAAGCATTGTCACCAACTTTCATCACACAACCACCACCTACCACTTTTACTGTCAGCCATGCGACTTCCACTTTCAACCTCCATTGCTTATCACTGCCACCAACCAAAGCAGTCTCCAGCCACTACTACCCGCAACCACCACCGAACACCACCACTGGCGACCACCTAAGTTGCGCAAACTCTTCACTTTATTCTGCACCCATGTCAGATTTAACAAAAACACTTTACTTTTGGAGAATCCAACACGCACATGTTGACATTTTTCAAGAGTCCAAGCAACATAGGTGACCATCGCACAACCATCATTTACGACCGTACCACCGTCAGCCACCAACTCACAACCATCACTACCGATCACCACTGCCCATAAATGCCTCTATGGCTAGTTTGTAGAGTTTACTTCATCTAACTAACAACTTTTACAAGACCATTTAATTTAATATTCTCTAATGTTATGCGGATATAATATTTAATTTTTTTTTTTTTTTTTTGAATTTTATATTTATGAGTTGTTAGATAAAGATAAATTGTGCACATTGAGATTTAGAGAAAACAAAGAGTCTTAATTATCCGAATATGGACATATTAAAAATCAAGCATTATTCAGATTTAGACATCTTAACTTTAAAAATGTGGCCCTAGTTGTCATTTACCTGAGGGGTTGGATAGGATTTCTGAAAGTGTACTTCCTAAATTGTCTTATTGTTTCTAAGATACAAAGTTTCTTGTCTTTCTGCAGGTAAAGCTACTCAAATTTACTGGTTATAAGATACTAAACAATATCTCCGACGCTGGCAAGGCATTTCTGATCATTCTGATTAGTGATACCCTTTTGGGGTAAAATTTTGTTCCATTTCATGTTTATGGACAAATTGAATGTTATAAATTAACTTATCTGTAAAATATAGAACCTATCCATGTTAGCTAATTCATAAAAGTGAAGGCAGCTTGCTCATTACTTTGCAATTCACAGAAGTGAAGGGTTTAAATAACCTAAACCTCTTTTTGGGCTTTCCTCAAGGATTAAATTTAAAATTTCTATTGTACAAGTACTTAAACTAGAACAAGGTGCAAGGTCTAGACGTAAAATTATTCTTCTCATCTCCTAAAATTTAGTGGGGCCAATCCTAGTTTTACTCTCTTATCTTTTCTTCTATTCATTTCTATCTTTTATCTCCGTATTTGTTTCTTTGGAAATTGTCAGCATTTCCCTCTTTTCAAAAGTAATGGAATCTACCTTAGAAAGCTTTGTCATGTTGGATAATGTGGTGAATCTGTCCAGGTATCATTCTGAATACGGTTGGAATACTGCGCTCGAGATGCTTGTGGAGCATTATGGTATTGAAGTTGATCGATCAGCGATAACCATATTTGTCTGCATTGTTCCAGTTATAACGGATACCTTTGTGAAGCTTTGGGTATGTGCTTCTTTTCAATAACTTGGATTCTTTTTTATTTTAATCTGGAAAGTGAACAAAGCATATGCCTGTAAAATCCTCCTCGACCTTCATGGAGATACCATTCTGAATCTGTTTGGGAGACTTTGCTCGAGATCCTTTTGGAGCAATATGGTATTGAAGTTGATCAATCAGTGATAACCATATTTGTCTGCGTTGTTCCAGTTGTAATTGATTGAAAGCCCTCCTTGACCTATTGAAAAAGTAAATTAGATTCATGCCAAGTACATGAATTTACCTAGTTCACGTATTAGGAAATTAATGCTAATATGCATGTACTCTTAGCACGTATCCCTTTATTCATGAACTTGGAATAGGAAATGTTTAGAACTAAATCACGATAAATGGACTAGAATGGATACATGCCAAGTACCTATTATAAAAGTAAACTAGATTCATGCCAAGTATATGAATTTACCTAGTTCATGTATTAGGAATTTAATGCTAAGATGTATGTATGCCTTTATTCATGAACTAGGAATAGGAAATGTTTAGAGCTAAATCACGCTAAATGGACTAGAATAGATACATACTTTAAAGGAATCTACAACTTGCTTCTTGTTAATAAGAGGGTTCAAAATTAATATATCTACATAAAAACATAAAATTTACTTTATATATATTGACATTTTTTTACCGAGTGGGTTCGGATGAACACCCTGGAACTCATGTGGGTCCGTCTATACTGGATAACATTAATGATTACCAAATAAATGCTATATACCATGAATACCCAAGGTGACCTTATAAATCGAGCTTTATCATTTCACCTCCATAATGTCAATGCGCATGAGTTGAAATGCCAACACAAACGAATTGTACACCAGATTCAACCCTCGGCACAAACAATCATAATCAACTCTGAATCATTTAACAATAAGAGTAATGAAGTAAAAGAATAATCAAGTAAACAACTCATATATGGGATTTCTGCCAAAATCAATTTATCAATACCAAGTGAGCAACATAAGCATCAAGGCAAGTCAATATGCCACAAATCGTGCTCATGTAATCACATGATTCATCAAGCAAGAAGATAATTGTTGAATTAGGTCTTAGGCCTAAATCTCACCCCAAAAAGCTAGCTCAGAGGAAGAGGAGGATTGCCAAGCCTTATAAGGAATCCACTCATCTCATTAACTACCGATGTAAGACTTTTGTCATTCTTTAACACCCCACCTCACGCCCAATGCTTAGCATGTGGTGCGTGAACAATTTTGATTTCGGGGGCCCCAACATCGGGTGAGATGGGCCCTGCTCTGATACCATGTTGAATTAGGTCTTAGGCCTAACTCACATCCCAAAAGCTAGCTTAAAGGGGAGGATTGCACAACCCTCATGAGGAGTCCACCCATCTCATTAATCACGGATGTGAGACTTTTGTCACTCTAACAATAATCATCATTTTACCCCTAACATGGCACCAGTACCCGCATAAATGCTCATCATCTCATTTATATGGGACCCCATTACCCATTATCCCTTAATCAGCCAATTAATGCACTATCACTTCATAAAGAATTAAGAAAGTTTCAACTTGCCATAATTGAAGCTTAAACAAGCAAATGACAGGCTTTTCTTCCAAAATGCCTCCAGATGATCCTAATATGGTTAAATATGTAATCTACATGAGTATACGAGTTCATAGAATTTTTATAGGAACGTTTGGCTCAAATATTGAGTCAATAAGTCAACCCCGAGCACCGGAGGTCGAATCTGGAATTTTATTTCAGAATCAGTTTATCCATCAGGTAGAAAACTCTGGCACCAATAATTGGCTAAAATGGATCGTTTTATCAACTTGGGGAAAATCCCCAAATCGGTAACATCAAGCACCGATTAAATGATGAACTTAGCGATGGAGTAGCAGAAAGTTCGTAATTAGAAGGTTTTTATCTTACCCCATGAAGAAATTGAGCAAACCCCCTCTGGAACTGCCCAAAACCCCAAACTCTAGAATTCCAAATAGCCAGGGATTTGCATAGAAGTGGAGAATTTCCTGCTTCTGCGAGCTTACAAAGGCGGAACTAAATGAGCTTGGCGCTTACAGCTCCGCAGAAGCGGCTGTCATCATATAGGAGCAGACGAGCTTCACTGGTGCCACATTGTCGATGTGGATGGGAGTTCCCAAGAGCAACCTCTCTTGACCTTGATGACTTTGCAGAGGCGATCCAAGGCTCACTGCTGCGCCTTCGTTATTGCGGAAAGAAATGCACTGGACTTCACCCAGAAACTTCATGACACTTTCAAACTAGGACACGACCCTCGAAATTCATCTGAAACTTCCCGGATACAAACCAAATGTGCAGATTGACCATAACCAATCCAAGGTCAATTTGACAAAATGTTGATCGTGATCTACTCTAAACTTTCCAAAATACTAGAATCATCTAATGATCCAAATCACTTCTGAGTGCCTGGGGATCCATTCAAACCACCAAACTAAGTCAAAATTCATCCTTTGGACCTAACAGATCTGTCAAAACTTGAACCCAACCTCATTAATCCAAAATTTTGACTTTGGTTAAACATCCCAAAAACCAAACTTCCAAAACTGAAATCTTCCTCGAAACACATCCCATAACTTCGGAAGTCTTGCCACATATCCCTGCAAGTCATAAATGACATATAGAAGCTACAGAAAGGCTCAAAACGGAGAAATCACGCAGAATACTCAAAAAACCATGATGGTCATTACAGTTTTAGAGAGATGTGAAAGAAGACTTGCTTGCTGGAAGAAAACAGTATATATCACTGGGAGGAAGACTGACCTTGTAAACAGTGTGTTGAACTCAATGTGTACTTATATTATGTCTTTGTTCCCTCTTATCTGCGAACATTGAAGATAGATTTGACGAAATGAGGAGTTCATTCTTGTGGCATGGTAACAACGAGAAAAGTTCTTTCAACCTTGTTAAATGGAAAACAATGCTTTTAAATATAAGGATATGGGGGACTAGGGGTTAGAAATCTAAGAATGTACAGAAAAAGTTTTCTAATGAAGTGGTTATGGAGATTCAATCTAAAAGTGGAAGCACTGTGGAATAGAGTTGTTAGGATCAAGTATCTTATCTAAGGTAGCTGGTGTGCCAAGCTAATTAAAAATCCACATGGGGTGCCAGTCTTGCAGAGCATTAGAAATCTGCAGCCTGAATTTTTAGAGTGGGAAATGCCAAATGGATGCAATAACTTTTTGCCTGCATGATGATTGGATTAGCCATGGTCCCCTAAAAGATTTTCCCTGATTTGTTCTGTGGTGGCATGCACTGAAGGTTCCGTTGCTAAGTTTGTAGCAAATAGATCCTGGACAGTCAACTTCAGAAGAAATATGAATGATTGGGAATGTTGAAGTGTGTGCCAACTGTAGAAGCTGTTGGAAAATTTTCAAAGTTACTCCCCAAGTTTAGATAAATTGTTTTGGAAAGGGTGCAACAAAGGGGAATTCTTACTCAAATCTTGCTGCAGAATTGTATCCAAGGAATAGCAACTCCAACCTATAAAGCCATGACCCTGGAAACACATCTGGAAGTCAAAAGATTCTTACAAAGTGGTGTTTTTTCATGGATTGGGATTTGGGGCCAAAGAATCATGCCTGACAGTAGACAGCCTACAGAAATCTCTTTATGTATGTGGTGGTCAAGCAGAAACTCTTAATCATCTCTTTTTACATTGTCCTTTCACTGATCAACTATGTCTGCTATTTCTGAATTTTGTGGGTATCAAATGGTCCATGCTTGGGACTACACATAATCTTTTGCGATGTTGGGATAAGTATGGACAAGGCAAAGTATAAAATAAGTGGTGGAATGCTGTTCCTTGTTGTATCTGGTAGGTGGTTTGGGAGAAAGGAACTCCAGGTGTTTTGAAGAGAAGCACAAATTATTATTGAGGATTAAGCTAGACTGTCTTTTGTGGCTTCATTCTTGGTTAAAAATGTAATAATCCGAAACAAGAATTACTAAACAAGCTTTGCAACCATACAGTTCTAGGAAGAATTAGGAGAAAGATCGAAAAACATGACTCGTATCAAAGAAGCCGTAAACATAGATGAGGTAGAGGAAGATATAAGCAAAAACGTTGAGCTCTAGTTTTTGAAGTTACAAGACTGACTTGTGGATATCTTCACCAAGATTTGATGTCTTTTAGATCATCTCTTGGAATTATGAATCAAGTTCAAAGAGAGTGTTCGGCAAAAGTAAAGTAGATACTAGTGTCAAAAAAAAAAAAAGTAAAGTAGATCCACCCCAAGTACATGAATTTAACTAGTTCATGTATTAAGAAAAAATTAATGTGAAGACAGATGTATGCTTTTATTCATGAACTAGGGTCTGGGGAATAGGAAATGTTTAGAACTAAATTATGATGCACATACTAGTATAGGCACATGGTAGAAAAGTTCCTATAAATGCCAAGGCACTACAATATTGTGTGTAGGTCATGAAGTTGGTAGAAGTATATTTTCATCCACTTGTCTTCAAAGACAAATCATCTATTTCATGTGTGAGAACTATATGGAAAAAATATTAGTGAATTGTGCATCTAAATTGTTACATTGAGACCCTATTCATAGACATTACATTAGAATCCTTTTCTAACTAAGATTCCTATTCTTATTCCTATTCCTATTCCTATTTTTAAGTAGGAAATACTTATTTCTATTCTAACATCATGAGTATCTTTTGTACAACATAGGATTGATGATTATGATTTTTATTGAAAACTACTTAATAGAAATTTTCAATTCTAGGAAGTTGATCCCTACAAATTCTTCCGAGCTCAAGAGAAAGAAATATGAAGACCCAATTGATAAACCCAAGTAGGAATCTCCCTAGTTCGATTTTATTAATTAAGCACAAGGATTTACCAATATACTCAATTCCTTGCTGTGCAATATCCAATCCAATTTCCACTCTTCCAAGCAATAAATGGACATGTGAAGCTTAATCTACGTTTGCAACCAACAAATTACCAAATAAGAATGTAAGTAAGTAGATAATAAAAACCCAAGTAATAATAGGCAAGATAAACTAATACACATTCATATTTAATGCCATAAGAGTCTACAACCCCGGCTATGGAGTTAAGCTAATTAAAGAGCAATTAGGAAAGAAAATTGGTACTCGATGGAGAAATCCTTCAAAACCTCTCAAAAATAGTTACAGATGCTATCTAAGCTTCAAAGGTACAAAGATGATATAAAAAGTGCCGTGAAAATCTATTCGCACTCGTGCAAAAATATGGCAACAGGGCCCTTAACGTATGGCTACGTCACGTGGGTGATTCCAGAAGCTCCCCCTTGACTGGCTTCTCTTCCCTGGCTACGTGGCTCAGATACTTGGGTGAGGTACTTGGCCCCCACAATTTCTTTTTTGCTTTTTAGCCACTTTTTCTTCAAATTTTAGCCTCCATGTCCAATTTCCTCAAGTATTGAAGTCATTCCACTCCTTAAGCTTTTCAAAAGCTGTCAAGACCTAACATTACCAGTTACAAAAAAAAAACTGTCAAAACCTAAAATTTTATCATTCAAATCATTGTTAGCCCATTAATCTCAAAAATGGGGCATGAATTTATCATTACAAAGTAGCATAAGTTTGGCAAAAATGCCAACCTATCAAAAGCAACATTTCTTCACCTGTCTTCAAGACAAATGATTGATTGAGAGTACTCATCCTCTCCAAAATTTCCAACATGGGCCTCATGCATTCAAAAGAAATGACATTTTAGCATAAGTCAACTTATTTTACTAATATTTCTAAGAAAAATTTGTCAATGTCAATGTCAATGTTTATATCCATTTATCATGTGTACTTTCTTATGGTATTGGAAGAAATGCAACCCATATTACTATTCTCTAACGGAAGACTGTCTTTCCAGATTTTTAAGTACTTGCCGAGGTTATCATCTGAAGTGCCCAAATATATACAAAAAATGAAGAGGCATTAGAGATGCTTCCCCATATCTCTGGTTGCAGTTGCAGCAGCATCTACAGGTAGAACATACAATCAGTCCCATGTAAAAGGATTGATACTTTTCGCCTTCCTTTCCACTTTTCCATATATAGAGGCTCCTTAACCTGAAATTGGAGTAAATTGTAAAAGGACATTTTGTATTTTTCATGATGTGAATAGCTTGTCATCAAAGTGGCGTAATTCCTTGAAATAGTTCATAATGGGAATATTTGTGAACCGTTTATTTGTTTGTCAGCAATATTCAGATTCTGAATAAAATAGGTTTGTTAGAGGCTTGAAAGAACCTATTTGTATCTATTTATCGCTTCATCTGGGAACTCTTTACATGATCTAAACTTGTTATGTAAACATCCTTTCAGCTGTTATTGTACTTTCTTATTCACAAGGGAGTGTCTACCCATATGAAAAAAGAGGTTTACATATGTTGGAGATAGATCAAATGGAACCAACATTTCATCTGGAGTTACATGGGTGTGGGGTGATACATAATTTGGGGTTCTTTCTGCTATTTCTGTTTTGCTGTTATTTCGGAAACATTCAAAAAAAAATCCTAGGTGCAAAATGCCATTCCTTGATGTTAGTTTTTGAACTATTGTGTAGTTCGAGCCGTGTTTGTCAAAATCTCTAAATATTTAATTATCTTCCATTCAAAGCTTAACGATATGTGCTTCGTAAAATTGTGTTACTTTATATGATTTAAAAAAAAATTTGCTTGATGAATTACGTACCTGCTGGGTATTCCTCCTTAGATTTGCCAATTTGCCATATAAGAGACCTTGAAATACTAATGCCTTATGATAACAATATTTCCTGAAATTTTCATTGTTTCACTTGTCGAGAGTTGGGTAATGAATATAAGATATTATAATGCCAAGATTCAATTAATCATGAGATAGTTTACACATACATTATAATCAACTGATTTTAGGCATGACCTTGCTTTTCTGAATATCTTGGGTGGTGGTGGTTGTTGGGGAGGGGGTGTTGAATTGAAATCGTTTCATTAGTTACAACAACTATTAATCAATCGACTATTGTTAAACCCAAGTCGACTCTCCTGCAAGTTAGACAGATAAGCAAGTATAGCTGGGTGTGAACTAACTAAAAGACTGATTGATACAAATGCTTTTATGCATGTTTAGATCAACGAAGTGGTGCCTACTGCCTCATCCAGTTCCCTTGGGTTTCAAGGGATGTTTACAGATTTTGTTGTGATAAACTCTTAAAAGTTCCTTATGTCTGGACAATTCGACATCCTTTTGTGGTCACAATCTCTACTTGTATAGCTTTTTGGTCTCTTTTTCTTTTCACTAGGTAACCATAATGTTTACTATGCTTTTTGTAAGATAAAAAGAGGGAATAGTTCTTCTTGCTCAAGTGAAGTTGTGCCCAGGTAGGCATATTAAAGATTTGTAATCAAGGAAACATTTACAGACCGTGAATTTGTTATCATTATTTTATCACAAGCTGGATCAACTGGTAGTAGAGGAAACTACATCACTTATCTAAAAGGGATAAAGTGGTTCTATTTCTTGATCATCGCAAATTGATCTGTGCCTTGGGAGATAGTTTTATCTCACTCTTACGGAATTGTAGATATCTATGTATTTCCCTGCTGTATTATTCCAGCTATTGTCAATACGCATAACTTTCTGCACGACAGCTTTCCATTCATTTGGTTCTGCATTACAATTGCAGACATCAAACAATTTAATTTTTATCTCAAAACAGATAGTCAGCTTCTGAGAGCCTACAATCAACTGGAGGTATCTTTTAAGGAAATCAGGAGGATGAGCTACATGGATAGAATGGCTTACTTTCTTGATAATAAGAAAATGCACGGCCTAGTGCACAGTTTAAGGATCCTTCATCAATTCCTTCAAAGACAAACCTACATGAGAAATATGTCAGCACTTCAGAATCATAGTTGCAATACCAGTCAAACCTACAAATTGGAAAAGCTGCATGACCAGATAATTTTTTATTTTAAAAAACACACAAATACTAGCATCAATTTTGAATACAAAATAAGTAGGATTTCAAGAATTTGATCAGTTACCCATTAGCAATCTCAGTGTGAGATTGATTATCCATGTCAAAAACCGTGTCCGCGAGACCACCCGTCTTCCTAACTATGGGAACCTGAAACAGATACAAAAACTCCTTGCTATTGTTTTCTTTCTTAAGCTGGAATGAGTATGTTTGTGGAAGCAATAATTGGACATCCACCATATTGTCTTTCTATTAACACAAACAACCCTAAATAAAATCTTTCTGACAAGTTGTTCTACCATATAATTATGGAAACTCAGAAGCAGATAAGAAACAAATATCTTTCCCAGTTTATCAACATAAAATGTGAAACAAACTACTATTTCTTTTTTATGACAAGGGGAACCCGCAGCCACTACTCTTAATAAGTAATCCTAGTACTTACAGCTCCGTAACGCATTCCAATCATCTGTGCTAGCCCGCATGGCTCATACATTGAAGGCACCAAGACCATGTCTGCAGCAGCATATAGCATATGCGACAGCTCCTCGCTTCATGATTGACGCCATTTGAGAAACAGTGAGAACTCGGGTTAAAATTTCCATCATGCATTCAGTGTATAGAGGTGATTCATATGAAAAAAGGATTGATATCTACAAGTGATTCATATCATTTGAGGTGCACTTAATCAGATAAGAAGGTACAATTTGCGTTGAAGCTCAAGATAACTTCATAAACATTAACACTAGCATTTGTTGAAGGTCAGGAATTTTAGATAATCAATTTGCTTTAAAAAGTAGTTACCTGTACATCAAAAGGATACGGATATTGGAGCCCTTGTTATGCTACAAAGAGGACAAGTAACAGATATCACCATTGCATGATCATTCAAAAAGGTTAATAAACACCACCAGATTTATTGGACTCCTTCAAATATAACACTATGTTATCTCAAATGAATGAGTAGCGATGATGCTTGTAAGCAGGATAGAATTACATTTGTTAACATATGAAATCACTAACTAGTCTGAAGGAAAATTTGGAAATATGCATTAATAAGCAATTAGTGCAGTAAATTTATTTAAACTTATGATATCGCTCTTGTTCTTTCCTGTTTGTTTTTCTTTTTGGTTTATCAATTGGCGTTTCTTTCAAGTCAAAATCCAGCAATTTGGCCTGGAACCTGACATCTAAATCATTAAATGATTCCATTCTAAAATCATTAGAAAAACAATGATAAAGAGGAGGAAAAATGAAATGATCATAATGAACTGTATTATCGCGGTGAATGCTTCCATATTCTATCTCATGATGGAGAAAGAACCGTCTGTACGACCAATGCATGCCAGCAGGAAGAATAGTCAAGTCTAGAAATTTTGGTTACCAGTTCTGCTAAACCTTCAAATTCTCTCTCAACTCGATCATCTGAAGCCCTCCCCAAAACAACCATCTGTCCACCCTGAAAAACATGCCATCAGCAGACTTCAATTACAATGGTCAAAACAACAGCCTATCAGTTGGCCACAAGTTAGAAAATAATCCTACGAATAGCTGCAAAGTTGTAAAAAAAATTGAGATAAGGTAAGTGTATTACAATTATCGCACCAAGGTGCTGTCAAAAGTATTTACAAATTACCAATAGTGCATCCCTTGCTATTGTTAAAGGGACTATATAGATTCTATCACAGCTTTAGCATCACTAACGTAATTCTGTTTGCATCAAAAAATAAAGTGAACAACTCATTTTATTCTTTTCAATGGGCTCTCCTTTGTCTTCAAAAGAATCTAAAATCTCTCTCCCTCCAAATTGTCCAACATATGCATGCCGTTTTAAGGCAAGCTCTCTGTAAATCTGCTTATGAAGTGTTCAGCCTAACAATCAACCAGATTAGCTGTTGGCTGTGGAAGATGATATGGAAAATCAAAGTTCCATATAATGTGGCTTACTTTACATGGCTTTGGCAAAAGCGGCAGTCCTGACCAGGTGACAGGACAATCTTATTGAAAGGTGATATACCAATTATGTTCCAGATGTGACTTGTATGGAGAGGAGGCAAAAACGATCATCTGCACTGCAAGATAACAGATCACTCTCCGACTCCCCTTGCTGAGGTGGCCCTATATCCCCAGGGTGGAACTGGTGGGCTTTAATATCAAAATCTGAAACTGAATACACAAATCGGGATTCTACACATCTGTCATAGCTGAGACAGGGGAATGTCTTAGGAAGTGCCAAGAGTAGTTCACAAGTTCTGTGCTTATGATATAAAAGTCAAGCTCACATCATCTCAATGACTCTTTCACTCATAAAATGATAAACGGTCATCCAATTAAACCTTTCATTATGAGAATGTATCCTATGCTATGTGCTATTTACGTATAAACTTGACTGATCGAATGTCTGTTTTCCTGTGTCTAAGTGCACTACTGGTGAAAAGGACAAAACGGGGATAAACACTTACAAGTTCTTCAACGTGCTTGATCGCATGAGTGATGAGATGGAGACCTTTTTGAGCAACCAATCTAGTAATGCAGACAACCAAAGGTTTTTGATCAGCCACAGAAATAGGAAGACCAAGTCCCTTTTGAACAAATTTTTTGCATATCCTCTTCCCTTCAGTTTTGCCGGCTTCAAAAACACAAACACGAAATAAGAAGGTGAAGAAATATCCATAAAGCTAAAATTTGTTACACAGCAAATAAAAAAAGAAGCTATTCTATGAAAAATAGCTATAATACACACATTGGCTCATCAAAAAGAGAGTAGATGACCTTGTGTGGACAGAAGTAGCCCAATATAAACATAGTTTTGTTCTTTGGTTAGCTGACTGGGGGAGACTACTTACAGAAGCAAGATTGATACATTTGAACATATTCATCAACAGTGATAAATGTTGCTTATGTCAT